TTGCCTGTGGTACAGTCTGGGCATTTTAAAAGGCTTGATTTTAGACAAACAAATCTGGTTGAATAGGATATAAACGCTGGTAATTTTCTTTGAAAACATGATTATGAATGCTTTAGCACAGTCTGCTCTCAATAGAGTGACATAAAAGGACTGATCTGTTGTTGCAGAAGGCCTTTTACACCAGGCATGTTTAAAGTAGTTTTTATTCAGTTTTAAAAGGACATCTTGTTCAGTAAAAAAACCCAAAGGAAAAAACTTTCTACTGATATCTGTTAAACATTCCTGTGAAAACCTGAAACTGCTTTGACTATTAACCTGATACCAAACCTGGTTGGAAAAACCATGTAGCCACATTAGGATGAAGCTCGGGTAGCTTATAAATATTGAGCTGTGGCTTGAAGACCTAAGCAAGGCCCAGAGTTTGAACACAAAAAGGCGAGTGAATGCCAGGTAAAAATGTGCTGTCCATTTCATATCAAAAAACTATAAAGTGATAAGATTATATGTCCAGGAAAATACTGCGTAATATTGTCGCTGATTTTTGGAAAGAGGTAAAAGCTCTTAATAATTGTGAACCATCTAAACCATGTACTGCTGAAGGTGTTTCCAGGGCAGACACTATTGCAGCATTATGGAGATAGCATTACAGTACATTGTTCAACTGTATAAAAAGGGAACGCATGAGGAACACGAAGCCATTCATACGTTATCTTATAATAAAGTCTATGGTTTGGATCACATTACTGTAGAATATTTAAACAACGCTACTTTAATGTTAACTCCTCTTTTAGTGCTCTGTTTTACTGGTTTTATGATCCATGGCATACTATCAGAGTTCATGTTGTGTATTTTGCTTGAACCAGTTATGGACAAAGCTGGAAAAGTGAGCTGGATCATCAGGTCGATTGCACTTGCCAGGTTCTAGAAAGAATCCTGCTTGACGCACTGAGTGTGCATATCTATTACAAAGTAGAGAGTCTTGAAATGGGGTGGAGAGAAGGGGAAGATATGCAGGAAAGGTCTTGCAGGGTCAAGACTTAAACCCAAAACATCTGCTTTGAGGACTAAGGCCTCTGTACATGGGTTGCGTGCTCTACTGCTATGCCACGTGGCCCACGGAAAACCTTTTGGTAAATTTAATCAAGGAGTTCCTGTGTATATTGTGAGTTTCCTCTCTTACTGGTACACTCGTCAGAAGATGCAGGTGAAATGAAGAAGCAGTATTTCTGTCCCCTTTGGTGTTAGCAATCATGTTAGACAGGGTGGATTTTTTTCTCAAGTAGTGCTGGTTTACAGCAACTGTTTAATATATGTATTGAATATGGTGTGCAATATGATATACAACCCCAACTCCAAGTTGGGACGTTGTGTAAAACATATATAAAAAAGAATACAATAATTTGCTAATCCTATTCAACATATGCAATTGAATTCACTACAAAGACAAGATATTTAATGTTCAAACTGACAAACTATATTGTTTCTTTGCAAATATTGACTCATTTTGAATTTGATGCTTGCAGACTTAAATCCATTTTCTTCTCCAATATGATTTTCTCTTCTTATCATCTGTAAATCAACATGAAAATTCGATAATTAAATCCATCCATGCATTTTTTTGACCCGCTTCTACAGGGTCGTGGTGGAGCTGGTGCCTATCTCCATCAATCTACTGGCGACGCCGTGACCCGTCCCCGGATAAGCAGAAGACTAAGACTAGTATGAGTACAACTAAACACTAAGCTCACAAATATTACCCACAGTTGTCATGGTGGTCCACTTAATCACTGCTCTAGCCACCTGTAGTACCTGAGGCATGAGTTGTGCTGTGTCCACATCCCACAGTTTTTGGAATTTTCTTCTCTAAAATCCAACATAGAACCAATCCAACATTCTAGTTTTCGATGGCTGAGGCGAAATGCATCCCCTTCACCTGTTTACTCCCCCCTGAGCTCACCCATGTTTCCTGCATAAATGAGCTTTAAAGCAAAGTGCTTTTATTAAAGCAGTTTTACGCTGTTGTATTAGTCTCAGATGATCACGCTTTAATCTGGACTTTCCTTTGCACTATAAATTAAAATGCACAATTTGACGAAAACACCTAAACATAGTTGCAGTGTAAAAAAGTAACAGGGGACCCAACCCCCACTTCATATGTGACTTCATGTTCTTTTTACAAGCTAGGAATACAATTCCTAAGGATACAATTCTTTTATTTTTCATTTGTCCTTACAAAACATTCATTGTGGTAGTATTTTGCTTTTTGAGGGCTAATAATTTATGTAATTTATATACACAATAAAGATCAAATAGCCTATTTTTCCCAGCTACGACTTCATTTAATTTTACAGCTTTTGCTATTTGAGAGATTTGAGAAATTGACACTCATAGATAATATAGTTTCATAGCACATAGGGTGAAATATCTAAAGCCTTATTTCTTATAATTGACGATGATGGCTTACATATAATGAAAACTCGAACATTAGTGTGTCAGAAAATTTGAATATTACATAACATCAATAAAAAATGATAAACAGAAATGTCAGGGTTCTGAACATTATCATTTCTATATACTCAACACTGGGTTGGGGTTCCTTTTGTATGAATTACTGCATCAAAGCGGCGTGGCATAGAGGCGATCAGCCTGTGGCACTGCGTAGGTGTAATGGAGGCCTAGATTGCTTTAATAGCTGCCTTCAGGTCATCTGCCTTGTTGGGTCTGGTGTCTCCCATCATCCTCCTGAAAACAGCCCATAGAGTTTCTATGGAGTTCAGCTCAGGGGAGTTTGCTGGCCATTCAAGAACAAGGACGCCATGGTCATTGAACCAACTTTTGGTACCTTTGGCAGAGTGGGCCCGTACCAAGTCCTACTGGAAAATAAAACCATGTACTCTAGAATTTCATGGTAGATGGCTGCATTGACTGTGAACTTCAGAAAATCCAGTGAACCAACACCAGCAGATAACATGGCACCCTAAGTCATCACTGACTGTGGAAACTTCCCACTGGACTTCAAGCAACATCGATTCTGTGCCTCTCTACTCCTCCTCCAGACTCTGGGACTTTGATTTCCAAGTGAAATGCAAACTTTACTTTCACCTGAAAAGAGGACTTTGGAACAATTAGCAACAGGCCGGGTTTTGTTCTCCTCAGCCCAGGTAAGAAGCTTGTTGCCCATGTGTAGGATTTGTCTGTGCATAGCTGCTCTTGATGCGCTGACTCCAGCCTCAGTCCACTCCTTGTAAAGCTCTCCCAATTTTTTTTATTGATTTTTCTTGACAATCCTTTCAAGGCTGCGTTTATCCTTGTTGCTGGTGTACTTTTTCCTGCCACACTTCTTCCTTCCACTCAGTTTTCTATGAATATGCTTAGATACAGCGCTTTGAACAACCATTGTCTTTAGCAATGGCCTTTTGTGGCTTACCCTTCTTGGGGAGGGTGTCAATGACTGACTTCTGGACATTTGTCCAGTCAGCAGTAGACCACGATTGTGTGGTCTACCTACCCAGACTGAGAGACCATTTAGAGGCTCAGGAAACCTTTGCAGGTGTTTTGAGTTTATTAGTTGATTAGGATGTGACAGAAATAAAGGTTTGAGATATTGTAATGAAAATATATGTTATATGGGTTTTACTTTCTGAAATGACTGACAGAAAATCTCAAACCTTTTTACGTTATTCAATTTTTTTTAAAATGTCCCTGTACTTCCTCTTTATCTGCCATTATGTACAGAAGTTTTTTTCTTTTTGTGTATCAGAGTTCAGGTCATCCTTGCATATTTAGCACCAATATCCACTCGCAATAGTTCAAAGGCTATTTTGTAGTAAGGGTTTGTAACTAGATTTACTTTGGTGATTTTTAAAGGATTCTGCCAACTAAATTAATACTCTGATCAAGGGTTTCATTTTTCTAAATTATTCAGTGGGACGTTTTGCTGCTGTAGAGACAGGGCAAAATGTTTTCAAGATCTGTAATAGATCCCTTATTGTAGTAAAAAAATTACGCACTGAGTGAGTTTGTAGCATTGAAATGCTAACAGCTAGCCAGATGGTAATGCCAAATGCATTGACATTTCTTTAGAATGGCTCAGAATAAATATTTTCAAACTGCCATACTGTAGGCATGTAGGTTGATCTTAGTCAATTCAACCAACACTGTACATTGTGTTTAAAATCTGATGAAATATAAAAATAATTAGATCTGTAAGGTAATAAATTAAACATTTTACCCCCTGAGCATATCAGTTTCTGCAGCGTTATGAATGTAAGTCAGCCAAGGCAGCAAAACAAGATATTGTCATTCTTCATGAGCAAAAACCTTGAATAAGCCTTCCTCTTTTCTTAGCCCACACACAAATTCAACCCCTGGTTGCTGTTATTAATCACTGGAATGTTGAAATTGCTGTTAAATTGTCCGTGGAGCAAAGTAAACCTTGAAGCTGAAATAGAGATGCAGGAAACACAGCTGGACATAAGCTCTGTGCTGCTTATCTAATAGAAAGTGGATGTTTGTTAGTCTGTGCATTAATGTTGCATGATCTGAGACCAGTACACAGAGCTTCTCAGAGCTCCAATTAATTATACAACATTTGACTTCCTAACGTTCACCACTTTGTTAAAATCTCTCCAGCAGTCTGTTTGACTCTTTTTAATCTCTTTTGATCTCCTCCTCCTCCTTTTAGCTCTGATCTTGGGATTCAGATGGAGGAGGATTTGCTCTACTAAACGCTGGAGGAAAGAACACATTGTTAGTTCCTTTAATTTCTTGCCTGCAGTGTGAGCTTCAAAATCCAATTCAAAGCAACAGAAAGGGAGATGTGTTTTTTTTTCAATGATTTTGAAATCATTTCAAAAATAACTTTATGCAACTTTGAATCAAATAATTTTTTATGTTGATGATAGTTTTCCTGACCGACCCTCAGAAGTTTTGATTCAAGTATTTACAAATTTATAATTGTAGGAGAAAAACACATCTTCTTGGTCACTGGGTTATTTCAGGGCTGTACGGTGGTGCAGTTGGTAGCACTGTTGCCTTGCGGCAAAAAGGTCCTGGGTTCAAATCCCAACTTGGGTCTTTCTCCATGTAGTATGCATGTTCTCCCCATTCATGTGTGGGTTCTCTCTGGGTACTCCAGCTTCCACCCACAGTCCAAAAACTGTGACTGTACAGTTAGTTGGTCATTCTCGCAGTTGCCTTCAGGTCTGAATGGGTGTGTGCATGGTTGTTTAGACTGGCGACCTGTGCAGGGTGTACCCTGCCTCTCGCCAGTAGATGGATGGAGATAGGCACCAGCTCCAGCACGACCCTATAGAAGCGGGTCAAAAAAATGCATGGATGGATTTAATTATCAAATTTTCATGTGGATTTACAAATGATAAGAAGAGAAAATCATATTGGAGAAGAAAATGGATTTAATGAAGATTCCAATATAAGTAATGTTATGTTGTCTTCAAAAGGAACTGGGGAAGCAATGTTTTCAGGATTCTTTCACTATAAAACCACAGTCCAGCTAACTCTAAATGATTGAAAAGGTTTAAATAATTTGAATATACATATCACAGTAAAATGTAGGCAGCCAAAAAAACTAAATAAATTGGAGTGATTACTCACAGTTATCTGTTGTTACTCCCGTATGTGATCTCCAACATGTGAATAACTCATTTTAGCTGGGGAGACATTTTACAGCATTGCTCCAAACCTCCTCTGGTGCACACACAAACACACAGCAGGGACTTCATGAGTGTCTGACGCGCTGACCAGTAATGACAAGCAACCCACAAGCTTTAAAACTTCCCACCTCTGCTGCACACATGCGTCATCTTCACAAAGGAAGGCCACAACCTTGAGTTGATTTATTAACCTCCATACTGCTGGCTTCTGCTCCCTCACTCTCTTTTTTGCTCCTTTTGACTGTGTGTGTCTCACTTCTTTCCTTTTGGGGGAAACACTTTTGCTTTTAGGGGCATAAAAAAAACTCCGGCTGATGGGAGGTGAGAGGGTTGGACTTTACCGTGACATCCAACAAGACGCCACACCAACCCTGATGAACGGTCATGACCTCGCTGCTGCAGATGATCGTACCGAAAGCAATGTGTGAATGAGTGTGTATGCTTATATGAGTGACCTTTCACATCACCATGACAAGGCCATTGATCCGGGACTGTAATTGAACAGACTCGGACAGATCCAGAGCTGGGCGTCTCTGTCTGTGTGATCACTGTTACAGGAACTCTTTACTGATGTAGGCCTTCATGCTACTTTAATAGTTTCCATCAAAGTCCTCCCCAATTGCCTTGGGAGGATGTTTATGTAATTAATGATCAGGCTTAACATGTTATTAATAATTGTGTTCAACCTTGAACCTGAACGTGCTTTGTCTTTCTAATAAATGTGGGTTATGTCAAAAAATAGTTGACTAATATGGTTAAAGTGATAAATGATATCTTTTAAAATATGGATTTTTATAGGTTTTCTTAAGAACCCTTAAGAAAACCTAATAAAAATAAACTCATTGGCAACTTTATTAGGTAAACTGATTTGCTAAAAATAAATCAACCAATCACATGGCAGCAACTCAGTCCATTTAAACATCTAGATGGGGTGAGGATGACCTACTGAAGTTCAAACTGAGCATCAGAATAGAGAAGAAAGAAGATTTAAGTACTTTTGAGTGTGACATGGTTTTGGTGCCAGACGGGGTGGTCCAAATATTTTAGAAACTGCATGGGTTTTTACACCCACCCTTCTCTTGGTTTTTGAGACAGTGGTCCAAAATAAAGAGAAACTATTCAGTAAAGGCAGTTGTGTACATAAAAATGCCTTGCTGAAGTCACATTAGAATGGGTTAGGCCATAGTAGCTCAAATAATTACTTGTATCAACTAAGGCATATTAAATAGCATATCTGTATTCAAAACAGGTCTTAAAGCACCTGGGCTAAAGCAATAGAAGACAACACTGAGTGACACCTCTGCCAGAAAACAGAAAACTGAGGCTATCATTCACACAGTCCCCCCAAAATTGAAAAAATACTGCCTGTTCCAATAAATCTCGATTTCAGCTGTAGCATGGGGTTGCTTGCACAGAGTTCACTGTTATCCCATGGCCTCCATGGTCACCAGATGTCAATCCAAAAGGGCACCTTTTAGGAATGTGATAGAAATTGCAGCAGAGGAATCTACAGCAGCTATGTGATGCTATCAATATGCTTCAACACTGTGCTAGTCAGGTGAAATGCAGTCACATAAGAGTTTATATTCTGATCTTGACACAGGTGAGCCTCCAAGTCTGCTTTCAGTGTGCCCTTTAACCCAACCTGATCTGAGAATATTAGTCTGTAACTAATGGCTGTTCAGAAATACAATAACTTTGCTGTCTGACCTGGGAAAGTCCTCATCACCCGGTCCTGGTTAGACTGTTTTGATAAAAAACATGTTTACCCCATTCACTGTGGAGACTCCTTTAAAATAACTCAGAAAGTTCTCACTGTTTTGGTCATACTAATAATCAAGCCCAGTGTGACCCAGAGACCTGAACTACTAAGCCATCCAAAATACTTTTTCAAGATCCTTAGAGAAATCTGATCAAACCAACATCTGTTTGGGCCGAGGTTTCCCCGTCTGCCAATCCAAGCGACTGGGGCAGTGATCCAAATTGGTTCTGTGAGTGAAACATTTTGGACCAAGAAAGTCACTTCTCAATTGTGAGGCAGTGGTTCTGGTGTTTAAGATAGGTTAGCCCAGAGAGGGATATTAGCTTTAGATGAAACCTTTTCTTAAGGGTTCTGAGATTTCTATGAGGTTCTGATAATCCCCAGATTTTAATCCTTTAGATAACAGTATTTTAATGTTCATCACTTATGTATAAAACTCATACAAAAAGATAATTAATCCTTTATAATTTCCATAATGTTATTTAAAATGTTATCATTGTTCGCATTGATTCCAAATAAATTGTGATCCTTAGAAATATACAGTGATCTTATTTTTGCATATGATAACAATTGTTCAGCGCACCTCCATCATTCAAAGCATTTTTGATCAATTATGAAACTGATCGATTTCCGAACATTAATATCGTCTAATCACACTGTGCTGAATTCTTCTCTGCTCCAATCGTAAATCCTTCCACAAGTTTCAAAGTTCTACTACAGGACATAACTTTCTTAAATTAACAATGTAATAGGATTAGCCAGTCAGGTTCATTTGAATAATTCAACACTCCTGTCAGACCGGTTATGGTGTCTGGCTGTACAAATAATCAAATATTAACAGCATCTTTGGTTGTACAGGAAGGTGGAGTAAACCCTCAGGGGAGGGGCGTGTGCCAGCTAATAATACAGGAATAAAGGTGCAGAGTTTGCCACCTTTAAAGGAAGCAGTGAAATAAGGTGCTTTGTGACAATTAGAAGCTTTGAGCTTCACCAGAAGCACAAGAAGACAACTGCTAGATAAGGTGCATTTCTAAACTAGGATAGTGAAATATACATAGAAGTGTTAAATGTATAAATAAAGCGACTAAAAGATGTGAAATACAGAAATCTTATTCCTAAAATCAGTGCTGCATCTGGCCTGAGAACAGAGCACCCTATGAATTCTGAAGCTCTGGAAGATTCTGTGAAGTCTGTGAAAGACAACTATGCTTTCAGCACTGCTTTATGAACTCTATGCAAGCCAAGTATACATTAAGAAAAAAAACAACTTTAGGCTGTTTGTGCTGACTGTTTGCATGTAAATATGATCCCAGTGCTGACTTTGACACTCTACAAGCATTTTTTCTACCCTGTAGCAATTTTCACATCTGAAGCTGCTAAATTTTGATATCTGTGAAACTGCAGGGTCAGATTAAGAACTCATGTCAACAGAGTAAGCCAGCACTGGAAAAACCCTTTAAAACACGGGAAATACTGTGACCCAAAATGAAGGTGCATATTTGAAAAAATAAAAACAAATAGGACGTGTTAAGTGGTCAGTGTGTGTAAGTGTGTGTAACCCAATAATATCAATACAACTATAAAGGGTTATACAATTATTTCCAGATTATATATTGTATATATCTGTGGTGAAAAGGATCATTTATATGTAGAAAACATTCAGTTCAGCTACTGATTTCCCAAGGAAGCTTGTGCAAATTAGACAACATTAATATTGCATTTATTTAAATGGCTGGGCAGAAGATATATTCTGCTTCCAACGAGAACATGGCAGCATAGCTTAGGTTTCAAAGTTTTATCTGAAAATGATGAAAAGTACTACATTTCACACATTTCAAACAGTGTATCAGCACAAACACCTCAAAGTTGTAAAGCACAGTGGTGGAAAGATAATGATTCATCTTTCCAAAAGCTAAAAATGGGCCTAAACTGAGTAACAAATGGGACAATGATCCTACACATAGCAACTAATCTTCAACAGAATCACTGAGAAACCAAGGAGTGGGGCAATCAAAGTCCTGACCTCTAAAATATAAATAATCCATCAAAATTCAATGGTTAAAGATATTAAGCACAGCTAAATTAAAAAGTAAAACAACATTTTTCACATTAGTCATTAGCCTTAGCACACTTCTGAAGCTTTTTGGAAACAGAGTGACATGAGGCTGATGTAAAAAAAAAATAACAACACAAAAGTACTAATGTTGCTGTGATTTGGAGTAAGCAATAAAAGCAATGCACGAAGTAGGCCACAACATCAGTTTCTAAAGATCTTAATTTCTCAACTCTACATAGATGCAATTAAAAACTTTTGCAATTAAAAACAGATTTTGGTTGCTTGTCATTTTTGCTTCTGTGGCATGTTAATGATCAGAATGGTTGACCCAAGTGCCCAACAAGATTGTTTTAAAATATTTAAAAAATGCAACACAGAAAAACCATTTTGATAAAACTGACAAAAAAAACAGGATAAAACAATTAGACATCACAATCTGAAATCACACCTGATAGGCCCCAGGCAGAACTTCAACTAAAAGCAAATGTAATAAAAGCAAGATCCACATATAAACATTCTGCATGTGTGCAGGTATGGGGCCATGTGCGTACAAAACCGACAGAGCTGTACCTGATATTTTCAGTACA